ACTTTGAGAAATGACAGATTTCGACACAGTCAGAAGTACATTTAAAAAGAAAGTCTTTACAGTTCAGATCAATAGAGTTCAGGTCCATAGAACTCAGATCAATTTCCATCAGGCCATTTCAAACCTAGATTCATTGAGAGTTTATATCTCTGTTTTAGAGGCTCAGGTTGTTTCGATTTTTATTAATTCACCTGGAGGATGACACAGCCATCAGGAACCCATTCGTGCCAAACAAACTCATAGGACACAGAATTATATTTCCAGACTTCCATTTATTAACTGGCAGAAAGAAATCTCTGGCACCAGGAACTGCTAGGCCATCAGTTCAGAGTTCTTCCTCCTCGTGGATAATACCATTTAGAGTCTCAAATTACAGATCAGAGGTTTGCATCATTGGAAACAGAGTTAGAACCAGAGGACTGGATATTTTTAAGGGTTTTCATGTGAATTTATTCAGACATAATGAATTGCTCTTATACACTTTAAGTGTATGCCTACATGAACAACAAAAACAAGCAGTACTCACAGGGAATATTTAAAATGATGGGAATGAACAAGTTAAAACTAAATAACAAATGAGTGAATCTCACAAGTACAAACTTGAGTGGAAGAAGACAGAAACAAAAGAGCGAAGATTGTATGTTTCTAGTTATGTAAGTACAAAACAAGGAAAGCTGATCAATTCCATTTATTAGTCAGGACAGTGGTTACCTTCGGTTGGGGGTTAGGGGGATATGACTGGAAGAGAGCCAGAAGGGGAGATGCTGAGAAACCGTGTTCTCTTTATTAATCTGGGTGCTAGGTCCACAAGTGGATTAGTGTGTAAAATTTATCAACTTATCTATATATATAAAAGCCCAGCGACTGAACGGTGGAACGACCAGAACGACTGGTCGACCAGTCGCTATGATACACACTGACCACCAGGGGGCAAACGCTCAACGCAGGAGCTGCCCCCTGGTGGTCAGTGCGCTCCCACAGTGGGAGCACTGCTTGGCTGACCGGGATGAGCGGCTGCTCCCACAGCAGGCGATCCCCACAGGCCATGCACCCCACCAGCGCACGAATCCATGCACCAGGCCTCTAGTACATTTACAATAAGGGTGCACATTTTGTATTTGTATTATACTTCAATTAAAATTTTTTTTTAATTATCAGCACCACTTCTAGAACTACAGCTTCCCTTTTTTGGACAACACTATAGACCTACTGACCAACTACCACCAACCATGCTTCTCCAATGGGGTGTTCACTATCAGTACTAATGCTTCTAGCATGACATTGTCTGAAATAGTCATGTCCAGCGTCACAACTATTTTACCTTAGCCTCTCATGCTCTCTGGACGTCTTTCAGATGAAGCATAATGGTAACACTCTAATCCCATTCACAAAAATTCTTAGAAATAATGACTTAGACCGGGCTACTTCTGGAGAGAGTTCCCTCGACTGGAGGAAGATCATAAAACCAAACCCAAGGCCACCTAATGGCACCAGCGGCCCCGACGCCAAGGCCAGAGTTCCCCACAGCCTTGCAGGTAGACAAAGATGTGTCCCGTGGCCATTGCGGTTCTGTTTACTTTGTCTCCATGTTGACGAGTGGGAACAAGCATTGTGTACTCAGCCTACCAGCCAACATATGGCTCCTCTGGTTTGTCGATTAAAAGCAGCGCTTATCTTGTGAACTCCGTCCTACCGGTAAAAGTTGCCAGGCCAGAGGGACTTTGTTTAAACAACGTGCAGAACCGTCACTAATGAGAAACCCCCCGCAATGAAGACTTTCATTACTTTTTGCCTTGACCTTCTAAAGGAGAGTCACTTCTCTGAGTACTACGTGTAATTGTTTCTAATAACTATAGTAGCTTATTATTTTAGGCCTAGAGGGCTTTGGTTCAGTTGATTTACATAAGAGTTATCGCACCCATTTTCAAAAGAAACAGGAAAATATTCATGGCCTTCATAAGAACCACCTTTTGGGGAAAATTCTGGCTTATTACAACTTCAATGAAGATATTCAACGTACAAAATCTCCCAGAGTGTTCAGGATGTAACAACATGAGAAACTACGCTGTGATGGAAATTGTGAAATATCCCTCTTTAAACCCTCCTCTTCATGACAATCACACTTCCTGGGGGAGGTTTTCTGACACAGTTATGAACCCTCTAACCCACTTTCTGAAATCCAGGTGCAACTGCATTATGTTTCCTTTCGTTAATTCAAGTTGTGGCGCATCGAGGCGTTATTAGTCCCCTCTGCCCCCAGTATTGCCACCAACACGATGTATCACGTAGGAGCTAGAGAGCGGGTGCCCTGGCAAGGTGGGGACTTTTCCGCCCCCTCGGTCCCAGATGGAAGTGCACGGAGGAAGGCCATTCTCTTTTTATTTTTGTTTTATTTTTGGCCATTCTCTTTTTAGAAGAGGCATACTGATTAGTTTCTGTAACCTGGCTGTCCCGAAGCAGCAATGGGTTTGGGGAACACATAGCACCCCACAAGCGTATGACCTCCCACTCCAGGAGAAACTAATAAAGCAAGCCTTTTTCCCTGGCAACAGAACATGGACTTGACCGGTTTCCTATTTGTATCGGTTTCCTATTTCTGCTGTAACAAACTACCACAAAAGTAATGGCTTCAACACACACACACACACACACTACATTGCAGTTCTGGGGGTCAGAGGCTGCAGTCACTTCACTGCACCGAACAGTCCTGGTACCATCAGGCCTCCTTCTCTGGAAGCCCAAGGGGAGAATCCACGTCCTTGTCTTCTCCAGCTTCCACAGGCCGCCTCTCCTCCCGGGCTGGTGACGCGTTCTTCCAGGCACAGCCTGACTCCAGGTCTACCTGGAACGCTGGACCCAGGGGGCCTTGGCCGCCTGGGGACTTCATCACCAGGCTGGTTCCTCTCACGGTAGCAAGCTGGCTGCGCAACCCCACCTCCCTTGCACCCTTCTTACCCTCAGCCCATAGGCAGAGCGAACACCTCCTTCTCCTGAAGCCCCGGCAAGGTTTCCTGAGGTCCCATTGGTTTAAATTAGATGATGGCTGGGATAGAGTGGCTCATTGGCTTAGGCCTCCATCAATCAGGGACCTAGCCCTACAGATGGAGGTGGAGTCCATCCCACACCAGCAGCCGGCCATTAGAGGTTTGCTTTAAACCCTCACTTCCCGAGGGTGTAGTCAGGTGCTGTGTGTGTGACAGAGACGATGAAAAATCACAGGCGGTCCAGAAAACGTAGAGTATGAGCCCCCCACTTCCACAAGAGACTGACTTCTCCAGGAGCCCAGAAAGAGACCTGGAGCCATAGAATAGTGAGCAACACTGCCTCTAGTTCGGGAAGTGAGGGTTTAAAGCACACACCTCTAATGGCCAGCCCTGGCCAGCCTCACCATCTTTCTTGCTGCTGACAGGATTGTTCCTGGATTCTTTTCCTCTCTAAACCCGAAGCAGCCAGGGCTGGTAGACACTTCTCCTTGGGGTAGCCTCCAGGTTAAATCTACTCCCAGGCTGTTTGCATATACCTTGTGCAAGAGCCGGTATGTCCCCGAGACACTGTTGCCATGAGAACTCTAAGGAAGATGAGGGATGTCATCACATCATCTCCCGGGAACAATAGGAGCTCAGCTTTGCTGCTCTGTGCATAGACTCAGCTAATTGTTTTTAATAAGTACGGGCTCCTTCAATGTTCAGGCTGTGTTTTCCCTTCCTTAGTCCCTGTACCCCGAATCTCCATCCGTATGCCCCCCAGCCTATCCCACAGAGCAGGCTCTTTTACCAACAGGCTTCAATCTGAAATAAGATTCATTTCATTTCATTTCTTAATTTTTCCAAAAGAGGAAAGAGACGTGCATGTGTCCATCACTGATTTTTTAAAAGCACTAATTATTTGCCATATTTATTTTAGTTTTTGTTTGCTCGATACTATTTTTTAGAACGATGACAGTTTATATATAGCTAAATAAACCCTAATTCTCACTTTCTTCCTTCTTTCTCCTCTAAAAATAACCACTACCTGAAGTTGGTGCATATCATTTCCATCTTTTTTTTTTTTTTTAATTTCTGGGATTTGGTAACATTTTTCTCTATGTGTATATGTCCAGATGCAAGATATACTATGGTTCAATCCTAATATGGGTAGGATCCCAGCAAGAAGGTGATGACACATTCAACAGGGTAATGAGAGCAAGGGAATGAAGGAACTTTACAGAGTATGGGCAGTTTCAAAGAACAAGAGATGGCGCTCTGGCCATTGTGGCTCAGCGGCTAGAGCACCAGCCCACACACCTAAGGGTCACGGGTTCAATTCCAGTCAAGGGCATGTGCCTGGGTTACAGGTTTGATCCCTGGGCCCTGTCAGGGCATGTATAGAAGGCAACCAATTGAAGTTTCTCTCTCACATAGATGTTTCTCTCTCTCCCTCCCCTTTTCTCTCTCCCCCTCTCTCCTTTCCACTCTATGAAAAGCAATGGAAAGAATATCCTAATATAAGATTAACAAGGAAAGGAGAGAGGGAGGGAGGAAGAGAGGGAGGGAGGGAGGGAGGGAGGGAGGGAGGGAGGGAGGGAGGGAGGAAAAGACATGGCTAAATAAATACCATATAATTCACACATTGAATGTGTGTAATTCTATTGTATTTCGCATATGCAAACTATATGTGCATCTATCACCACAACCACTTTTAGAGCATTTTTTATCCCAAAACAAATCTCCTACTTCTTAGAAATCACCCCAATACCCTTTCTTTTTCAAATCTTTTGGTCGCTTGCTATAACACCACAAAAACTAACATTGCTATCTAATTTATACAATTCCTTAACTTACACAATATACACTATTCTTCTAAATTCTGACTACAAAATCTAAAGAACTAAACCAGATATGTTATGGTAACCTATTAAATGTACTGGTAACATTCATGTTCTTCCCTTATTCATAACCCTGGTGGTCAGCGCACATCACAGCGAGCGGTAGAACTCCCGAGGGGACAATTTGTATATTAACCTTTTATTATATAGGATGAAACCGCAGTCTTTTTTACTTTATTGAGATGTTCAGTTTATGCAAGTAAAGGAACTGACTCCTGGAAACACTATAGTGCGAGAGAGTGCTTTCCATGAATACCTATTTTAGGAAGCCAGGGTGCTTTCCAGGAAGAGAGTATCTGAGGGTAAAAAATGAAGCCAGCCAAGCTGTCAAAGGTTTCAAGAGACAATATGTGCTTTAGAGCTAATGTAGGAGCTTGATTTTTATTGTCAATATGTGCGATTGGATGTATTACCTTGTGGGTCTTCTGTTCTGATGGTTATGGGGAAACAATGAAGAAAGCAACATGCATATGGATTTCTCTATTTGTGGATGGCCAGAAGAGAAACAATGCTACTTGGTAATATAATCTTATCAAATAATGTTTTATGAAGATTTAGCCTTTTTCCATCTAATAATTGTTTCACCAAGATATCCAAGCGATCCCTTAATCTCAATTTGAATGTTTATAGTGGAATATATATTTATATTCTGTAGGGGGCTACCACAATTGTAGCAAGGTACCATCTGTGTCCAAATATAATTAAGAAATATCTATAAAGAAATCATAGAACTATAGCAATAAAGAAACAGATCCTGAGAAATAAGATTTATAAACTGATTGTTTGGCATTCAATGTCTGGATGAAATGTTATTTTAATTTCCACTTTTTACATCACCTGAAATTTCCTACATTTTGGAGATACATCCTTGTTGTACAGTTCACCTGTAGCTTGTCTCAGAGCCTTGTGTTTTGAAGGGCTGGGTTCATTCTTTATTACTATAACAAGGAGAAATATTATTACTTTCAGGAATACTTATCTGAATACATCTCTTACATTTAACTTAACGTTCTTTAAGATATGTACCATGTGCATGTTTCTTTATGTGGTTTTAAGAGACAGACATGACTTTTCCCATTCCACATATCCCGTAGGCAGGATGGCCATCTACCCTTGAGTTCCTGCAACATTTCCAGTTTGTGCTCTTTGCCTTGGTGTCCTTTTACTCTCTAAGTGCTCTGGTTTAAATAATAAACGTAAGAAGGGAAAACAATCAATGAATTTGAAAACAGAAAATACGTATAGGGCTACTAGGTTATTATTTTTTAGTGAGTTTAGTTTGTGTCTCATAATGACTTTAAGTTGTCAATTTATGTACATGGAGTTGTTTATAGTCTTTCCTCATTATCCTTTTAATCTCTATAATTTTTGTCTTCTCTCTTTTTTTTTTGGCCAGCCTGGTCAACAGTTCATGAGTTTTACTGATTTTCATTCGAAGAACTAGCTTTTGGTTTCATTGGAGAGAGAGAGAATCAAGTCCAAATAATTCTGTCACGTATTGGCTGTATGGCTATGGCAAATTACTTAACTTCTCCCAATCTCGGTGGTCTCAATGATAGAATGGGAATGTAAGTACTACATCTTCAGGTTACATCTAGGATCAAGTGAGGCAATAGGTCACACAGATTCAAAAGATGATATACACTGTTATTACTACTCAATCAGAAATATCAGACAGCTGAACTGTGTGAGACACTTTAAAGAGAACACTCGTGTTTCTTCCTTATTATGTATTATCCTATTAAGACCAAAAGAATAACCTTAGGGAATGTAAAATGAAGCTGCAGCAACATCACCAGAACTTTGACCTTACTCTTGTTTGGTCAGTAGAATCTACTTTCACAAAGTTTTATTGGTGTGCCTGCTGCCAGAGATCTTATAAGAAGCACTAGAGGCCCAATGCATGAAATTCGTGCAAGGGGCTCCACCCACTGGTCATTCCAGAAGGTCATCCAGAAGGTCATTCTGGAAGGTAGTTCTGCCGTCTGGTCTAATTAGCATATTAGCTCTTTATTATATAGGATTATTACTAAAGATGAATTCAACTAACAGATGGTATCTTCGCAGCCCTGGACCGATTCACCAGCTTATTAAAAACTAAGATGCCCTAACTGGTTTGGCTCAGTGGATAGAGCATCGGCCTGCAGACTGAAGGGTCCCAGGTTCAATTCCAGTCAAGGGCATGTACCTTGGTTTCGGGCACATCCCCAGTAGGAGGTGTGCAGGAGGCAACTGATCGATGTTTCTCTCTCATCGATGTTTCTCTCTATACCTCTCCCTTCCACTCTGTAAAAAACCAATAAAGTATATTAAAAAACAAACAAACAAAAAAAAAAACTAAGAGACTCCTCCAAATTCTAATCTTCACACCCAGGGCTAATACTTAACAAAGTTTGGCTGTCCACGTGAGGTGAGAAACCGGTTAGTGAATTTGCCATTCTCATGTCTCATTGTCCCCACAAGATATGGAAACTAAATTTTGTGTGTTTGCACTTCTTTACCCACAGAGTACTTTTTCGACTCCGAGGGGAGATGATTGTGGATAACTCTGCTGTCATTGGTGTATCTGCAATGTCAACTCATTGCTGAGAAAGCACATGCCTTTTCCCGGCCTACAGACTGAATATGCAAATAGTCAAGGGAATGAGACACAGCTTCTTTCGTAGAAGTGTTCAAAATGTATTCGCTAATTCGCTCGTGTAACAAGGACTTACCAAGCATCTACTGTGTGCCAGGCGTTGTATTTGGTGTTGACAATAAAAAGATCAAAATAAAAACAACAAAACTCCTGTCCTCAAATAGCCTACAGCAATGGTTCTCAACCTTCTGGCCCTTTAAATACAGTTCCTCATGTTGTGACCCAACCATAAAATTATTTTTGTTGCTACTTCATAACTGTGATGTTGCTACTGTTATGAATCGAATGTAAATATCTGATATGCAGGATGGTCTTAGGCGACACCTGTGAAAGGGTCGTTCGACTGCCAAAGGGGTCTCGACCCACAGGTTGAGAACCGCTGGCCTACAGTCTAATTAAGGGGAGATAAGACACACTGACAATTATAAGGCAGTGCAGTAAGTAAGTACTTTGGGAGGGAATAGAATGGCCTCACAGAAGAGGTAACATTTCTGTTGAGTTCACCATACTGACAAAAGGCAGGGCAAGCCTGGCAGAGGGCACAGAGTCTGCAATCACAAAGGTCTGCCAGGAGGCTTGAATTCCAGGTTCCCCTGGGGGACCAGGTGCAGATGAGGCTGGTGAATTAGGCTGAAGCCATGAGCAGTTTGGGCTTCATCCTGTTCGATGGAAAACTACTAGTTCAAAGGGGGGCCCTTTAAATGCTTCTTTAAGCAAGGGACTGAAAATCAGATTTACCTTCTTAAAGATCATTTTAGCAACATGAAGGATTTACTGGGAAGGGTGCTTGGAAAACCAGCTGTATGATATCATACTAAGAAAGGCTGTGATCCACATGGAATCCATGTGAAAAGATCTTGTTATTTGAATGGGGTCAACAATATAAAAATATTTTATCAATTGAAAATCAAGAGGGAAATCAGGAAAAAGTGGACACTTAAAACAATAAAACAAACTTCTAATGTAATGAATTCTTGGGTATCCAGACTGGTCCTCTGGCAGATGAATTAGTTTACGGAAGACCATATTATTTCTCTAACGCTGTAAGTGCTTGAGTTAAGTGCTTATATGGTTTGCTGGATGGTAGAAAAAGAGAAAGGCACTAAATTTAATCAATACAGCTCCCTGACTGCTGCTTCATATGGAGATTGGAGGAGAAGGTGAAAACTCTCATTACCTCGAAGTGTTTGGATTATATGCCTCAGCTCTGCAGCTAAATCAGAGGTCGCTGCAAGAGAAAATGGACATACCGAGAGGATAATTGCTTTTTGCATTGGCTCTCCAAACTACTCCCCCCAGTTTTCCTACCGAAAGCTTGGTTTGGCCCCTTCCTCTGAATAGTGTCTGCGGCGCTCCTCTCTCTCTCAGCGGAGGGGCTCGCCGTTGGATGGCCATGTCTCACAGCTGTGGTTTGATGGACATTCTCTCCCTCTCGCGTTGAGGCGCAGCTACCGGAGGAAATAGAATAATAACCAGATCGATGCAGTCAGGCCCTTGCTAAGCAAAGAGGACCCATCCGGGATCTGACTGCATTCACTTGAGGGCTGAGGTTCTGCTCAGCTGCGCCCTAAGGATCGGCCTGGCGGTGGTAACAGGTGTTCTGTGCAGCTCGTGAAACGCAAAGCCGTGTGGTCTTTTCGCCGTAGAAAGCTCCGGGTTAAGTGTGAATCCCCAATCTGACAGCACAACCAAGAAACGGCTGCAGCTTTATTTTCAATACTTTTTTTCGTGTCTTAGCTACTGACAGATTCAGAAATACCTGTTCACTTACGAGACATGGATTACCCGGAAGAGACACAAGACAAGCGAGCAGATTCCATACTCTTTCCTCCCCATCTGGCCAGCACAGGCGAAGCTGAAAAGGAGCTCGGTTTTTTCCCTTTAAGGGGAAGAATGTGTGAACTCCGTATGTTTACCCATTTTCATGCTCATAAACTATATATGTTCTTTTCTGTTCAGAAGTTGCCTGATCCTTTCGTCCTCCCCAAACGGAAAGCGTTTTCTGATCTCAGACTCTCACCTGCCGCAGGGTGTGTGTTCGCCGAAGCACCCAAACGCCGCGCGTTCGCGGGGACCGGACCGCTAACTGCAGAAGCAGACGGAGACTCCGGGAGGGGAGGGGGGAAACTACATGTCCCGGCGTGCCCCGCGTGCGGGCACAATGCCGCCCTGTCGTCATCCGGGTCACGGGGCTGCGCGTCCCAGGCGCGCCGCCGGATGCCGGATGCCGGTCTGGATCCCGCCCCGGGCGGAGGGCCCTCCTGGGCCGGGAAAACTACAGTTCCCGGCATGCCCTGCCGCGGGCGCGCCTGCCTACGGGACGGATCGCGCCCGGGAGCGGGTTGGTTTAAAACACGGATTTAGTTCTATGGAAACCGGCCCTCCTGCTGCGGGGCGGAGCCACAGGCGGACCGATGGACAGTGGGGTGAGGCTGGGAGCCCTGGCGGCTGAGCCGAGCGCGGGTGCGGGCCCGAGGGAGGGAGTCTGCGGCTCGGAGAGGCCGCCCCCTCCCCCTGTCCCCCTCGCGGGCCGCGTCCGGTCTTGTCTCCGGACCTCAGGACGCGGCTTCATGGCGCCTTTGCATGGGAGGCCGGCGAGGCCTGTCGGAAGCGAAGGTCTTGCATCGCCCCGGCGGTGGCTGACGGGGGGAGGCTTCGGGCTCCGGGACAGCCATGGCGGTGCGGATGGAGCTGGTGGGGTCACCTGTCCTGCCCCCGGGCCGCCTGTGAGAACGCGGGTGCTAGGAATGGGCATTCTTCCCAGCGGCCCCCGGACCTGCCCCGGGGGCGGCCCCCCCCCCCCTGCCCCCCCAGTGCTCCATGCCCTGCGCGAGGCGCTGAAGATGGAGGAGCTTCAGCGTCTGACCCTGATTTGGAAAAGCTCCCGTTAGTTCGGCTTGACCGCCCACACACTCCTCACGGCCCTGACTTGTCACCCAGTCCTCGAATCCTTCCTGTTCTCTGTTATCCAGTGAAGCGAAAATGTCTGGTGATGAGAGAGGTGGGAACTCTGCCAGCCAAATCCTAGGTCCTGATGTGTCTGAAAGGGCAGAGAGGACAAGCTGGACTGTGATGCAGTAACAGACCACGGAGCAGCCTCAGTGGCTTAGAAAACAACACTAGAGGCCCAGTGCACGAATTCATGCAGGGGGGGGGGCCCTTTAGCCCAGCCTGCACCCTCTCCAATGGGACCCCTTGAGGATCAGGCCTAAACCCGCAGTCGGACATCCCTCTCGCAATCCCGGACTGCTGGCTCCTAACCGCTCACCTGCCTGCCTGGTTCTGGTTGCCCCCATCTGCTCCCTCCCTGCCGGCCTGGTTGCTCCTAACTGCCCCCCCAAGCCAGCCTGGTCACCCCTTACTGCCCCCTCTGCCGGCCTGATTGCCCCTAACTGCCCCCCCTTCTGACTGGTCACCCCCAACTGCCCCTCCTGCCAGCCTGGTTGCCCCTCTTGCCCCCGCCCCCCCCACCTGCCAGCCTGGTCACCCCACACAGCCTGCTGTTCAGTCGTTTGGTCGTCCCTCACTAGCCCCCCTGCGGGCCTGGTCCTAGGCAGCCATCTCTGAGGGCATGAGGGTTAATTTGCATATTCCCTCTTTATTATATAGGATAGGCTTATTGCTCAGTCGCACTGGATGTCATGGTTGTGCTTCATGTCATCTTCCCTCTGGGATCTGGCAGGCCCTGTCTGGGATGTTGCCCATCTCATGCAAAGGCGGGAGGGGGGGGGGGGGATGGAGGGATGGAGACAGTGAAGGACAAGTTAGCTCTTTAAGCTCCACCCACATTTCATTGGCCAAAACAGGACACAGGACCACCTCTGAGCTCAACAGGACAGGGGGTGCAGTGCCACCACAGGAAGGGGCGGGGCTGTGTTGAAAAATAATAGAGGCTACTGCACTAACGTCGTGACTTTAATCTCAGGTGCATATAGAAGCTACGATAACCAGACCCGTTGTCTCTCCAACCTACATCAGTGCTACAGCTTCTGAAACAGTCACAGTCCTGGAGCAGAAGATGAGGATCGTTGAGGAGCAGACCAGTTCTCTGAGGGATGACCTAATCATGTTGGACTTCGGTGCAAAAAGGTAACAAGTGGACATGAACTCGCTCGCTGCAGGCTGAAGAACTTCGAGTCACTGGTTATTAATAAGGAGTCACGGGGTGCGCTGTTTGGCAGACGAAACAGGTGTTTACAAAAGAACTGAGAAATAACAGCTTCCAGTTGCATCCTGTGAGAGAGCTACTACCACGATTCCCCTAAGCAGATATTCGATATCCCGTTTACTGTCGACACCTGATTTAAAACCAACATGTAATTTTTTGTGTAATGAGAAAAAAGTGTGGTTCTTATTTTGTAAATCAAAAATTGGCTTTGTTAGGTTAGGTGGACATCTAACCTTGATTCATGCCATTAAGATGGTCATTTTCTTTTCCCAGATTTATTGTAAATTAAAAGAGAGGTTTTAGGTCTTAAAATTTTATAATTTAGAATGAGGTACTCAAAAAAATTGGTTTTTTTTCTCCCCTTGTGCTGCTAAAGAAGTTATTACCATTAAATGTTGGATTATCAATGGCCTGAGAAATCTAGATGCAAAACCAGCCAATAACCAATTTACTGGTATGATTTATTTAAAAGTACACACAGGCATACCTTGTTTTATTGCACTTTATTTTATTGCACTTCCTAGATAATGCATTTTTTTTTTTTTTTTTTCAAATTGAAGGCTAGTTCCTCCACCAGCAAAAGGATTACAGCTCACTTGATTGTAGTACTTGCTTTACTGTTGTGGTCTGCAACCAGACCTGCAATATCTCTGAGGTGTGCCTCTATATTTCCTGTGTGCCTCTCATAAAGACCTAAATTAGTCTAGTTGGTATTATAGCACCCATAGAGTAAAAAACTCTTCAGCAATTAAAGATGAAATGTTTATACATGTTGAGTAGGAAGGAACAGAAAAGGAGTGTTTATTCTAGCCTTGTTTAAATATTTTTTTAAAATGTAAGTATATTGCTTCCATGCTAACTTTAATTCTTAGTTCACTATTACAGAATTAGACTTTACCATGTTTTATGTATCACTGCTTTTTACACACAAAAAGTTTATGACAAGTTCATATTGAAATAAGCAGCCATTAAAAATCAGTGATCTTTGCCCTTCCCACATAGTTTTTACTTAATAGTGGTCTCTAAATTTAATCTTGGAGGGAATAACAGTTGCTTGTTAACTAAGTGTAATTTTTTTTCTTAGTAGAAATAGTGCATTGACTCGCTGGTTGCGATCCCGGTCGTACCCATTGCATTGCATAATTTTGTTGTTTTGGGATCTTTGTCCAGAAACCAGTTTGAAACCCCAGAGTGTTTAGAAGCACCTAAGAACCAGAACATCACTCGTCCTATCCAGAGTGAAGTAACTTGTTCGGGAAAAACGGATATTTTATGGAAGAACTGTGAGTTTCTGGTGAATCGAATGTGCCACCTGGAAAGCCTCATCCAGTCCTTGAAGATGAATATCTTTTGTCTGCAGACTGAGAGGGACATGAACCCACAGAAAGCAGGTAGAGAGAAGAGGGCCATGGGAGTGCGGTGCTGTGTGCGTGCTTGATGAGTGGATGATGCTTTTCCTTCCTGCGCGTCCTGCTGCTCTCTGACCCTTCCGTGCTGTCTGGCAGCGTTTCTGAAGGACCGACTGAACACAATACAGGAGGAGCACTCCCAGGACCTGAAGCTGTTGCACCTGGAAGTGCTGAATTTGCGCCAGCAACTAAGAGACGTGAAAGAGGAGGAAGACAAGGCCCAGGACGAGGTGCAGAGGCTGACTGCCACGCTGGAGATGGCCTCGGAGACGAAGGTCTGGGTCGAGAGCTCTGAAACACACTCACAGTAGGAGTTGGTTGGAGGAGGCAACAGGCCTGTCAGACTGACTTTTAAAAATAGGCGGTGTTGATGTGAGGATTCTCGACATTTAAAATGCATCTACATGGATAACTTAAACGAGGTGTGCTATCAGTAACTGAGTACTTATAGAGCCCTTACACTGCACACGGCTGAGGGCCCAGCGATATGAGGTAGTCTGTGCTCTTTAAGGGCTTCTCTGCCACCTGGGAGAACAGGCATAGCTTGAAAAATGAAACAGAGACAAAATAAAGGCGGGGAATGTTAATGGACAAGTATAGGGCAGTAAGCGAATATTGAAGAATTTTGTGTTGGATGGGTTTGAGAGGGTGCATATGCCCTATCTTTTCCTCTAGAATAGGTCAGGGTAGGCTTCCAGAAAGAGGTTTTAGAAGACGAAGTGGTGAGGTGAGTGCATTTCAAGTCGCACACACACAGGCAGCAAAGAATAAAGACAAGGAAAATAAACTAACAATTTTGTTTTCCCGCCACAGGCTAGGCAGTGTAATAGATGTTGAACAGGTTATTTTGTTTAATCCTCGCAAAACCTGTTGATGTAGGATATTATTGTCCCCATTTTAATGATTAGAGTACTTGGGGCCCAGAGAAGGCACTTCTCCAAGATCATACTTCCCTGTCTTCTTCCCATGACCCAGGTTTGAACCTAGATCTTTCCACTGGGTGCAGTTAGGGGGAAATGCATCAACTAGCCTGACAGGAGTGAACATTTGTCTGTGGGAAATAAGTTGGAAATTGGCTAAGGGTCACATTATAGAGCAGCGGGCGCCAACCTTTCGGTCCTCACAGACCAACAGTGCTCCGCGGACCACCAGTTGGCGACCACTGTTACAGAGGGTCTCAGAATCAAGAATGAGTAGTCGGGTTTGATTGGAGGGGGTGATTAAAGTTTTGGATATGGCAATGACGTAAGGAACACTAATCTGGCAGAAGTGTGGGGCAGTGATTACAGGGGAAGTCAGGAGAAGAGCTGGGAGGCCGGGAAAGACTTAGAACGCATTGCATTATTGGAGGCGTGAGCCTTCCTAGTTCTGAGTTAGGGTCGTGGTATTTAAGAAGGGGATGGTCTGAGAAGATAGATGTGCTAGAATATGGTGCTGGGTAGGGCCTGAAGGTAGGAAAGAGGACCAAGACGACTCCTGAGGTTTCACGTACGTGCTGCCTTTAGTAATAATATAGAAGATAATCCATTGTGAAAGCTGTGTTTTTCATCCTGAACACCTAAGCATGCATCATCTTGAGCCTAGCAG